AAAAATCTGTCAACCCATAATTATTCTAATATGCTTTACTTACTTGAACACACATGGAAATTCTGAAAGGTGCATATATTACCTTAGATAATAAGATTTAGAAATCAGTGTTTCATATTTTATAAATGAAATGTGCATTTCTCATATTTGTTTTATGCAGCATAAAGTTTAGATCAAGAAATTCCAAATCCTGGATCCCCCCCGTTTATTTAGAAAACTCTTCAGTTATGGCTCTTGCAGCAGGTTTAACAGATTAAACATGAAGTGTTCTAGCTCCCTCTATTTCAAGTATCAAAGAAATATGAGGCTCAAAATCTCTCTAGGTTGTAACTGAAAGTGTGCAAAGCTTCACAAAACAGTTAAATGTGTTTTGAAATAAGGTATTAATTGAAACAAGATTCTTAAGTGTTTATCTGTGTTAAGCTAAGCACTAGGACTTTAAAACAATTTTAAATCTGAATATTTGCTCAAAAGTGGTAAAGTGATAAAAGTGATCAATTTACCTATAAATACATGGTTTTGGAGAAAAAAAAAATCGATCTTGATGTTTACAACTTCTTCAGCATTTTTAACTTTAGTTTTGTTTCCTTCTGAATGATATTAATTTGAATTTCAATCTAAACATAAATATTTGGCCTCACAGTACTTATAATGAAATGACAATCTGGAAACAGAAATTTTCTAAAGCACTAGATAGAGAATTTACTAAGGCTGTTTAAAGTCCTTCGATGCCATCAGAAATCCTGCAGTCTAGGAAATATCTGGTACCCTTAAAGTTTCAGAATAAGCTGAACTTCAATGCCATTAAAAAAACCAAAGAGTCAAATAGAAAAGATTGCTGCAATAAAGCACTGTTTCTAAAAGTTACAGACATGTTCCCACAGTCTGATAGAGTTAGAACAGCTCTTCAGAGTAAGCAACTTCCCATCTTTTTTTAGGCACACTAAATTTTTACCTTAGAAAATAATCTAACCTGTTCCCACAGTCTGATAGAGTTAGAACAGCTCTTCAGAGTAAGCAACTTCCCATCTTTTTTTAGGCACACTAAATTTTTACCTTAGAAAATAATCTAACCTGATCCTTAACATATTCATTAAGTACTATGAATATTTTAAGGTCTTTCTGTCTTAAAAAAAAATTCAGGTGTCTCACTAAAGAGTAATAAGAAGTACATCTACTTTGAGACATTAGACTTTCTGGAACTGGCTCAACTGTATAAAATTTTAAGAATTATGTGAAAGTGTAGAACCAACATTCTATGAAAACAGTGTGACAAAATTAAACATTACTATGTTGAACCCTTTTCTAGTTTTAACTCAAAAATAGAAATCATGAGTCTTCTATAACATTAATTTTAAAAACACACAGAAGTGAAAAGTGCTATTTTTCAAAAAGTACAATTTTTTCCCTACTATATATCAACATGGAATGATTTCAGTTCTCTTGTACTGAAAGCTGGACTTTTAAAAAACTAGTATTGCAACATTTAATATAACGATTTTAATCAGTAGTGGCTTCAGTTTCAGCTGGACCTCTAATTAGTCTTCGAATTCCTCTTTTTCCTGCAGGACCTTTTGGTTTTGCAAAACTTTGCTTATGTGCATGCTGCTTGGGATGCACTTCTTCATAAAGGAAGTCTGCAGTCAGTTCATCCCCATTGTCTATCTCAATCTGTAAAAGATGAAATTAGTACTGTGATACAATATTAAAAAGCACAACATTCAAAAGCTAATACAAGCAACAAGCCAGTTTTTAGATATGAATGTCCCATTACAGCAAAAGAGAATCAAGGGCCATATGTAAATAGTTTCACTTTCATCTTTTGGGAGGGTGATGCTAAATGAGTCGCTTGAATATATAATCAGCTTTATTGCATCCTATTTGGTTCCCTCTTACTGCTCCAATTTAAATAATGTTTAACAGTAGAAGCCACCACTATATTTTCAAGTTGTTCTGCTTTAGTACACTATATACTCAATAAACATTACTCATGGCCTCTTTATAACTTGGGTCACTTGAAATCACTCTAGAACAAAGGTTGACAAAGGCCTGGGTCAAATCTAGTACAAGTTAAGATTGTTTTACATTTTTAAAGGGTTGTAAAAATTAAAAAACAAAAAAACCCTCCAAAAAACCACACAACAAAAAGAATATGTGACAGAGACCATATGTGACCTGACAAAGCCTAAAATGTTTAGTATCTGGTCCTTTGCCAAAAAAGTCAGCCAGCCCTGCTATAGAAGGTACTATACACAACAAAGTAATTAGGATCTCAAGAAGCTTGGATGCATTTAGTACCTAAAACACTGGTAGTTTGTAAGGACCTGTATTTTAAGAGTTGAAGGGCTCAAGAATAAACCATATCTTTCCCCATGTCTCATCTGTATTTAAGAAAATAAATTTTTTAAAAATTGGTAGCTTAGTTCTCAAAAGTCAAATGTTTATGCTTGTTCTCTCCTTCCCCAACAACTGGAAAGATTCCCAATTATCCCATGATTCATAGTTATAAATGGACACTATAGTTCCTTATTAATAAGGAGTCCAGAAACAATCGTTAAGTACAGTCATGCATGGCTTAACAATAGGGATGTGTTCTGAGAAAAACGTCGCTAAATGATTTCGTCATTGTGCGAACATAGAGTGTACTTACACCAACCTAGGTAGTATAGCCTACTACACAGGCAGACTATATGGTATAACCATTATAATCTTATGGAATCACCTTTGTGCATGCAGCCAGTCATTGACTGAAACGTTGTTACAAGGTGCATGACTGTATGTAGCTCTAGCAGCACTGTCCAACAGGAATTTCTGCACTGATGGAAATGCTTTATAAATTCTGCACTTGAAATGTGGCCAGTATGATTAAGAAACTGAATTTTAAATTTTATTTAAATTTATATTTAAAGTTAAATGGCCACATGTGGCTTGTAGCTACCCTATTAGAGACTGCAGATCTGTAGAGAGATGGGGATCATGATAGATCATCCACAGGCACTTACATTAAAGAAGATCCTAAGGATTTAGGATGAGAATAAGAAAAATAAATATTCTCATTTATAAATCACAACACATCATGAGCTACATGGAAATGACAAGAAAAACCTAGCAAAAGCCAAAGATTTAAAAATAAGTAGGACTACCTTTCTTATTACATCCATTTGTAGTTGTCTTTCTACGATTTCTAGCAGAGGGCTCTTGCAGCTAGAATACAGCATCCGTTCTCTTATACTGCAAGTGTATCCAGGCATTGAATAAATAAAAACTGTAAGTTAACATAACAACACATACAATTAGCAGCACAGCAGTTAAAGCAAATACATAAACTTCATAAAACTACAACTAAGTCCTCTGGACAAGAAATAAGAATATAATGCCAAAATATCAATAGCAAACTGAAAATAAGATATTAAAAATGATGTATCATATACCTATGGACTCTAAATAGTCTCCTTCATGGGAGTGTTTATACAGAAAGAAATGGTAACGTGCTGAATCCTTGGGAATCCTCTTTGGCAAATCTTTTAGTTCTGTATTTGTCGTGTTGGCCAAAATTATAATTTCATTTTTTATATCTATTTCCTGTCAGTAAGAAATAAAATGTATTAATTAAAGTAGATACACAGAAATTAAGTGAAAGTTTTATAATAAAAAACCTAGGAGACAAGGGGGACTTAGACAGTTCTGGATTGTCTGACTTTTTCCCAATGAACATATATTGTTTTTGTAATTAAAAAAATCAGGAAACAAATTTAAAATTTAAAATCCATTAACAATAAACCTTATACAAGCCATAAGCTATAAAAAAGAGCAGCTATTTCACAATAATTATTATACATCTCTTACCAACTGTACATAGTTGAGCTGTCTGTTATTTAATTTTTCCAAAGCCTGAAAAGCTTCTCGAGAAATAGGAAATGCTACTCCTTGTAGTGTTTGATGTTTACTGTCCACACCCACGTCAGTTTGTACCTAAGTATGACAGATTTGATTTACTGGTAAAGTTTTAGCAATTAGCAGTGTCACATGACAAAACTAAGAAAACCCACCCTCTATAAAATAGAGCATCATTTAACCCTTGCCCAGCCTATAGTAAAAATTAATACTTAAAACACTATAAGCTTAAAAAGCAAATTATTTTTCACATTTGTGCATGGTCCTGCTAGCACTTCGTTGACATGCAGAGTGCATGACACATTTTAATGAAAATGCTGAGAGTGAACGTTTGAGTGAGTTATGCACTGTTAGTGGAGCTTTAGGGGTTTTGTTTGTTTCTGTGCTTGGTTTGGCACAATGAGCTGCGTAAGCTCTTTAAAGTGTCATCAGATTATACCTTTAATTACAAAATTTTGCTTGATAGAATTTATGAACAGTACTATACATACAATATGTGTAGAACTTTGTTCTGCTGGACGTAAAATGCAACACAAACACCATGCACTGAATTGAAAGGAGTACAAACAGTATACAAAGACACAACACGGCTCAACAAGCTATACTACTGCAGAAGTTCCAGACTTAGAGCTTTCTTTACTAAGAACATAGGTGTGCATGTATTGGAAGAGGAGGATACTTCAAGAAAGCTTTCAATGCACAAGTTTAAGATTTTGTACTTGATAAATGATAGCTAGTATAGGGTCTCATTTGCAGTGTTGCAACAAAGTCAAATAGCAATTTTACTTTTTAAAAAAATGAATGGAGATTCTACAGCATAAATGATATTGGATAATGAAAACATCATAAAACATATGCAAATGCATACCCCAATACGATCCTCTGGGCTCTGATTGCAAGGAATAAAACAAACTATCAAATTTGTAAAAAAAAATAAAAAATAAAAAAATAATTTAAAAAAAAGATCACATAAAAAACTCTACTCAAATAAGATGAGTTAAAATATCCTTGCTACCAGTTTAATATTAAATGATATACAACCATTTTCCAGACTGATTCCTAGTAGTCTGTTACTTAGGCTAGTGAATAGTGGTTTCAGCTACTTGCTTTTTTTCTGAAAAAACCCCAATAGAAATATAGTAGTTATTCTAACATATATTAGAAAGGCTGCAGAAAGCACATTAAAAATATGATGAACTACAATATGGCTGAAGTTTATTGACTCTGATATGCTCAGCAATTACTCAAAAGAACAATTTTCCATATGTATCTCCATCCAAGTAGTATTAATGAAGTTAATTTACAGAGCTTCCACAAATCTTAAACATTCTACAGCATTTATATTTTATTCTCTTTAGTTATCACTGTTCTCTGAAATAACAAAACAAAAAACCTGCTTCAGGCAACCTTATTAGATATAATATTTTTTACACTAAATGGGTATCATACACTTTTCTCATTTATATAGTATTCAAAGAGCAGAGATAACAGTTTTACTTCCAACAGGGAGATTTACTATTCTGACATGTACATTACAGGAAAAAGCTATTTATAAAATTGATATATAGTAATATTCATTTTTAACTTTTTTTTCTGAAAACACATTAAGCACACAGTCTTGTCTCTAAACTAAACAGAATAAACCTAAGCTACATAACTATTCCCTAGTTATCTCCACATCTATTAATTAAAAATATGGTATTTTCAAACACTTAAAATCTTGCAGAGGTTCTGAAGCTGTAATTTACCTCATTAATTTTAATCTGTCGTAATTCTTCCTCAGCTGCAGTCAATGGGGCAGGGGAAGATTGTGACAGCAAATATTTTTTATATCCATGTAATGATACATCTTCCTGTAAGCACAGAAATGGACTATGAGTTATTATCTAGAAGTAAAACCAGAGTGAAGATACATCAGGAAAAAATCATTAATTTAACAGAAAAGTAAAGATTTTAAATGAAAATAAGTAGCATTAAGAATTTTACCACCTCTTCTTACTTTTCTTTAATCCAAAGGATTCAAAACTTTTTAAGGGGAATATCTACTCTTCTTTTCCTGAAGTTTGATAACTACTAAATCTTTTGTATGAGTTTAGTGGTGGTGATGCCAGACAAATAATGAACCTGGTTGTGTTTCAAATCTACAGGACAATTATAATTAACCTTCTGGGGAAAACTGACCTATAATTATTCAATAATCAACACATTCAGCTTCTGAATTCTATATTATTAAATGATTTATATAATTCCTCTATAATTATTCATAGAAAAGTATTGTAGTTTTTACATTAAAATAAAGAAGTACTCCAAAGATGTCTACTTCATCAAAATTTTGTGGTCTGGAAGACTGAGATTCATAGGATTGAGAAACCAGACCATCTCACAATTGTGAACAAACAGCTTCTTTCCCATCTAGTCTTGTGCTCTATCCACTAAATTATTTTGCTTTCTGAATCAGAAAAGCTCTAAACAAACAAAAAAATCCTGTTCAAACATCTATTTTAATTTTCTTAATTTGTGTATACATGCACAAATACATATATTTACCATATAAATATTTTGCAAGGATAAGCATTATCATAATGTTTCAATACCATTTATTCTCAATATCAAATAGATATAAACGAATAAATCCAGAATTATGTACTCATTAGAATTAACTTGTATATCACATGAAATATATCAATATTTTCTCTTATTTTTATGTTTACAGATTGATCCATCTGAATTCATATCAATTACCCATTACCAAGAAGTCATTCTTTAATCATTTCAATTGCAACATACAGAACCTGCATAAAAATATAAGTTTTGTACCTTTACGGTTCCAAATACTTCATCTTTAATGTGGCCACCTCCAAACTCCTTTTTCAGAGTTGCTCTTGTTGCTGCATACAACATTTTTTGACGAACCTATTCAGTTGTGAAAATTTACTTAGAAGTTTATAGATGAAAACATATCATTACAAAATAAAGCATATTCTGAATGTATTAAAATTTTCAAGGGACCGGCCTGTGGCTCACTCGGGAGAGTGTGGTGCTGATAACACCAAGGCCACGGGTTCGGATCCCATATAGGGATGGCTGTTTTGCTCACTGGGTGAGCGTAGTGCTGACACCAAGTCAAGGGTTAAGATCCCCTTACCGGTCATCCTTAAAAAAAAAAAAAAAAAATTTCAAGAACGTTAAAAATAAAATAAACTGTGATGAAGCTGAAGCCCACTGACTATAACATGCTAAAGATGTGTGTACAAATAACCATCATAACAAAAACATCTAAATGATCAACAGCTATTAACGTAGATTTCCATTTTAATGTCACATTTTTTAAAAAGTCAAGAAAATATAAATTTTTTTAAATTCCTAATTTTTCAAAGTATAAAGTAAGCTCGAAAGTAAAAAAACTACTTAAAAACTACCTTAAAATGAGGAAGAAAACATTGAAATGAAGTAACCTTGATAGTGACATTTTACTCAAAGCTAGATCAGATATTACTAATAAAGATGTTAAGAATCAAATATTCACGGTTTACCTATGACATATACTATTCCATGAGGGACACCAGGATGAAAAGAGATACAATACATACTATTATTAAAGAGTCTACTAGTATCTACAGAAAGCTACTAAAGATAACTACTAAATAACAGAAATGATTTCATAATCCTGCATGGTCAAATCCAATATGTCTTTCGGACAGGAAGTATGGAATTAAAGAGGATGAGATGATCTCCAGAGAATGATGTTTAGATAGCTTTTTAAATTACAAATTTTTTTTACAAGAAATAGGAGAATTAATCTTTAAAATATTGGACAGTATTCATATATTAATTTTGTCTTTTGTTTTATTTAGTCAGTGCACTACCAACCTTCCTACAAGAAATACTTGTTTGTGTGCACGCACATCACCTGGATGGTAGCTATAAACAATACTCACATATGGTGAATATTAACAAAATTTAAAATAATGTTCAATTAGTTCTCAGAATTATTACAATTACTACTCTCAGGACAAAGTAGTTAGTTTCATTCTTCAGAGGCCCATAGATTCATTTATAATTGCCAAAGATTTAAAATTTTTAAATCAATAATTCTTTTGATTTCAAAGGCAAAACTTCTGACTCTAACCACATTACTGCTGATTCCACATATCAATCCAGTAATTTTTCCCATGATCATTCCCTTCTATGGGAATTGATTGCTGTTTCTTAACACTAATTGGCTGGAAATATTTCAGAAAAAAAAATTCTTAGTAGCATTTAATGTGACACAAACTACAAAAAAATTACTTACATGAGAATGATCTGGAGACCAGGCAATGAATATCCATTCATATCCTTGAGCATTCTGAGAATCTAACCTGAATAATATATAGCATGGCTGTTTGTCCTCCAACAGGGGTAAAACAAAGGAATCATAATCCTTATCCCAGGAATCTGAAGCCTGCCTACAAGATCCAATCACAAGTTGCTCTACAAAAAATAATTTTTAAAAAGATATGTAAATGGTTTGAAATACTGAGTGGTAGTATGATGAAGACCAGAAAAATAAATATACAGTTATTTCCCAATTACTATTATGCACACCAAAAAAGTTGAAAAAAGGTGGCAACACAGAAAATAATTATGCTTTAAAGTATTACCAAAAACAGACGTGAAAATTTTATGAACAACATGGTTAAAATGTTTTATATATATATATATATATATATATAAATATATATA